CGGGGGGGGGGGAAACAGGTGAGAGGTGTGTGAGTGTGTGAGTGCGTGAGTGTGTGTGTGTGTGTTCTGTTGTATGTGTTTGCTATAGTACACGTTTGCAATGTTTGTGTTCACACACTGACCCAGACACATGTTTTCTGACACACTGACCCAGACACATGTTTTCTGACAGACTGACCCAGACACATGTTTCCTGACCAACTGACCCAGACACATGTTTTCTGACACACTGACCCAGACACGTGTTTTCTGACACACTGACCCAGACACATGTTTTCTGACCGACTGACCAAGACACATGTTTTCTGACCGACTGACCAAGACACATGTTTTCTGACCGACTGACCCAGACACATGTTTTCTGACAGACTGACCGACTGACCTAGACACGTGCCACTGCTCAGCCAGAAGGGGATCTCCAGAGCTTCCAGAACCTTCTTGGTGAGCGCCAGCAGCTGGCGAGACTTCCTGCGGAATGTCTTGGCTCGGTCGCTGGGGTCTGGGGGAAACTGCTGGTTGAAGAGATACGCCCTTTTGTAGTCGCACTCAATGAACTCGGAGCTCTCTTTCTCCTTGAGGAAGGCAAACGTGTCGTTGGGATAGCGTATCTCCACTCCGTCCACCGTGACAGTCCCCAGTTCAAACCTAAGCAGCAGGAGAGAAAAGCTGGTTCCAGTTTAGTTTCGAGAGAAATAGCCGCCAAAGTTTGGTGATTTCCAAACCTCCAGTGTCCTTGGAAACGGCAAATTTACATATAAAACGCAGACAGGAACAGCTTCCTGACAAAACGCGACATCCATTTTTTTGTTTTTTGAGAAAAATGAAGAATTCTGTTCTTTACCTTTACAGAATTATCTTGATCAACTTTGGTTATAGAGTAAACATGATGTTAGGCTCTGTTGATGTTTGCTAACTGATGAAATCTCTTCTCATTTTGGACAAAACGCGACATAGTAACATCCACTTTACTACTACAATACAGGGAACGAACCACGGACAAACTTTTATCAACCACAGGCAAAGTCACATGACTGGAGGAAAGAGCTTGATTGGAGCCCAGAAGATATGTCGCGGTTTGTCAAAAAAGGTCTACCGTTTTTGTTACGTTCTGGGAAACTTTCTGTATTTTTTAAAGTGGAAAAATCATCTTTTGTAGAGAAAAACAATTGACCCTGGAATGTGTCTCACCTTTCTAGATAAAACGATACTAGATTTGGCCAAACTCCAAAAGTAGCATTTGTAGTGACAATTCCTATGTACTAACACTTTCAACCAAAAAACTTACAGGTCATATATCCCTGCAGCGTGGTGGAACGATGAACCCTTCATATCAAAGGGCGGGGGTCGAGAGGGGTCGGAGAGCGCGCTGTGCCAGTAGTGGTCTCCCCTCTTGTAGAACACCACCATGTGAATGACCATGGGCCGACGGTCCGCCACGGGAACCCACAACAGGAAGTGGGTGGTCACGGAGCGCTGAGAGGTCTGCGAGGCAACGGACAAGCCCCGGGGGTCGGCGTCCACTTTGACCCAGTTCTGGTAGCCCGCGCGTCTCATGGCAGACATCACCAGGTGCTGGGGAACAGTTCAAAGTTCACACCATGACCGACGCAGCGTTCTTTTAGTAAGAGTTTTACGGCACTAACAACACAATAAGGTCATATCAGCGCCGAGGATTAGAGATGTTACAAGAGAGTAACAAACATAAAAAAGAAGGAGGAGAGATAAACATGATAGATGTTTGATAGGAAAGAAGGAGAAAACCACAGCAGAGCACTCGCCAACCACCCACAACCGTCGCAGCGGTACTAAGGAAAACTATAAACTAACATAAGTCATGTTGGAAATATTCACAACACATCCTTTTTTTTAATGTGGGTGAATTTAGGTCCCACCAACACAATTTTGATCATTTATGACAGAAGTTGTTTTTAATTTTAGCAGAGTTGTAACAGCGCTCACAACTGTATAACAGAGAATTCTTACAGGGAATCAGACTTACTCTGCTCACCTCTCTAGCTTCAACAGCACAAAGTCTGCTTCGACTATCAAGGCACCCCGGAAATAGAGGTCACAAGAGTGTGACAAACATACACAAGAAGTAGAGGAGAAATGATGATAGTAAGGATTAGGAAAGAAAAAGCAGCAGTTCCCTGTTGCAGTTCAGGCACAGTTATGAGCATGACATTGAAGAATCAGCCCATTTACAATTCTACCTTGCATAAGAACATGGTTATTGTCCCCCTTTTGGGAATGGCCTAAAGACACTTCAGTCAGTGGCACTGCCCGGGGGGTAGGAGCGACTGTCGTCTCATTGCCCACACGTCCCACCATCAACAAGATGATACCCCATGACCTCACCATCTGATCCAGGCCCGCGTCCTTGACCCCCACAGCCACCGAGTCATGCCGATCCTGTCCCCACAGCTCCAGACGTCTCTGAGTCCCCACGCGAAGCGCACGGAGCAGACTGGGCTCGACGGCGAACACGAACAGACCGGACGACTCGCACGTATGGAACAGCAGCTTCACGGCCTCCTGGTAACACAGGGAACATGAGTACAGTAGTAGTGGACACACAAAGTGGACAGTAGTAGTGGACACACAAAGTGGACAGTGAACATGAGTACAGTAGTAGTGGACACACAAAGTGGACAGTAGTAGTGGACACACAAAGTGGACAGTGTACATGAGTACAGTAGTAGTGGACACACAAAGTGGACAGTAGTAGTGG